AAAGGATAAAAAATAAAAAAACAAAAGAATGTAATAAAAAGAAATACTCGCACAACACAATAAAGAAAAATAGTAGAAAAAGCAAAACCAGAAAAAGCATAACAAAAAACTTAAAAACGCGCAACAAAGCAAACAGGGGGGAAAACAATGTTATTTAGGAAGAGAAATTCATTACCAGGTGTGTGTGTGTTGATGCAGGGGAGGTCGCAAGTGTCCCACGCGGCTGCCAGTCACTCCTCACAGTGCCGCAAACCCCCACAGTCCCAACAGCAGAAGAAACAGCGATGGCACCATTCCGCTCTCACGCATGGTGCCAGCGTCGTTGTTATTCCCTGCGACAAATTTCCAACGCTGCTGCTAAGTGCCGTAGCATTGACTTCCTTGTCCTGTGCATGGATCCCCTGGCCATTCGATATTCCCGCCGTCTCCCCATTCGCACCACTGCTCCCCATCAACGATTCCTGTTTTGTCTGCTGTGATCCGCCAGGAGTAGACTGAATCGCTGTACCGGCAATAGGTGTATTCACCGGAGATGGAATAGGGGCTTTATTCGGCTTTAGCGCAGTAATCTCCGAGAAAGTCAACGGGCGGTTGTACAGCAGGACGTTCGTCACCGTCGCAGACACGCCTTCTTGGCCTCTTTTGTTGTCTGCGCTGCCTCCATCCCCTCCAATGTAGAAGTGTGAGATTCCTTTCGAATCCTTATTTTCCAGTGCACATGGCGCTTCTCCCACACGCTGACCATCGACGTACGCGGAGCCATGGGTGCCGTTCTGTAGCATAAGCACCAGCTGGTGTGTTGTGCCTGGCTCCCAACCGCGGCTGTGCTCCGTCGTCGGTTCTCCATCGCACAGCAATTCCCACTTCTTCTCTTTTTTGTACGACAACTCCATAAGTTTGTCTTCACCGTCCAGACGCACACCCACCACTGGAATAGTACCATCCTGCGTCGGCTCACCGTCGATGGACACCGTCGCCACAAGAGTGAAGTTGTAGTTCGCAAAGTGGTACAGCTGATTCTCCCCCTGCTCGCCAACGGGCCACTCCGCCCACGCTCCCTGGAACTTCACGCCCTTCTCTGAATCCACTGTGGCCGCTGCTGCACCGCCATCATTCACCTTTACCGTGGCGTTCACCCCGAGGTACTCGTCCCTCCATGTCTTATCAAAGAAGTTGCCGGACAAAAAGCCAACCAGCCCAGCCGTGACCTTCACAGCGCTGCAGGCATCGTCAGGTGAGGCACTCTTCTCAGGACTCCCAGAAGGGCACAGTTTGGAGACACGCTCGTCCACTTCCTTCCAGGTCGCCAGCACGTCCTTCACCCGCTGCAGCTGCTCAGTCAGAAGCACAGAGACCATACCGAGTGATGATCTGCCATTGCCCCTCTTCTTCTCGTACAGTGCAATCAACTTCTCCTCATTATTATCTTTACCACTTTTGTACAACAGGGAGCTGGCGGCAACGTCCTCTTCATCTTCTCCAGATATCGGCCCAATATCAACAATGTGCGTATTGTCCGTCAGCCAAAGACGGAGTTCACCGTTTCGATTATCTTCTCCGTTCCTACTCGAATACACTGGCAGAGTGACAAGCATCACGTCCCTGTCCTCAAACTTCGCTGTGATGAACCCGCTCTTAGCGTCCCTCCCGCGTCTCTTACCTTCCTTTGGGCTGCCCCACACGCGCGAGAGTGTCCCGAGTGCCTCCGTCCACAAATCCCCCTTGTCGCCAGACTCGTACACCCTGCGGCGGCCATCATCACACACTGTCATCATCATGAGTTTGTCCTTCTCCCACTCCACAACGGAGGGATCACCGCAGCCACCGTCAGACATCCCCTTCGACAGCTTCCAAATTTTATTATCCCTCGAGGAATATAGGATCAGCGAAACGGTCTTTCCATCATCTTCAGTGCCCCCATTCTCCTTCTTCTTGGCTTCCACTGGAAACACAAGCGTACCGTCATCCATCTTTACACCCGATCCGCCGCCGCCAATCACGGAATTCAACGATTTGAGTTGTTCGTCATTGGAATCCCACGGGATAACGTAAGTATCATTCCAAAAAATTCTGTTTTTACTGCCTTCACCACTGACGTTCCCCTTCACCAGCAAAAGTTCAAATGGAGTCGCCTCAGACGCAACCGCTTCACAATTGCGGGCATTTTCATTTATGTAGATTCCAGCAAGCATGTAAATATCACTTCCCCTCACGACTGTTGTTGGTCGGAACACAAGTACTCCCGTCCCGCTTTGGGAAGCAGCCGCAACTACTGTTTGGGAGGGGCATTCCCCTCCGTCAGTAGAACATTCCTCCAGTACTTCCGTCTTCACCTGAGTTGTTTCCAGGGCTTTTGGTGTTCCATCACTCAACTTTAGGAGCTCCGAGGCAATCCCAGTAAATGTGTATTCCTTCTTCTTGTACTGCGCCTCGGCAACGGCAAACACGTCACCCTTCATCTCAACAAGACTGGGAACACGAAGCAAACTCACCGTTTCTTCACCTTTCACATCTCTCCAAACAAAACGTTTACTCTTTGAAGATTCCGGACATGACGCCGTCTCATCTTCCGCAGCTGCACCAGTGTCGCAGCACATCATCATAAAAAGAAGGAGCACCACCGCAGAGCAGAAAAGATGCCGGGACATGTTGGGCCTCTGCGGTTCACTCTCTCCTCCTCCTCTCCTCCTTCCGCTGGATCCGGTCACGCGGCGACGGTTGTGTGTGCGGGGTGCCTTCACTGCAGCAACAGGTGAGTGCATACAAATATGTGTGTGTGTGGGCGGTGTGTGTGCTGTTGTTGGTCCTTCAGTGCCTTCGAATTTCACAGTAGCGATTAGCGCTTGTTTTCCTTCCTCGTGTGATAGTGGACGAAAAGTGACAAAGAATATGGATAGAAAAGGTGAAACAGTGAGCACCGTCACCCACCCACAGCGAGTGGCACCATCATCCCCGCCGCAGTCACTCCCAACAGCAACAACTCACGCACACAGACACACGGAACGAGAAGGGAGAACAGTGCACCGGGAACACACAGCGAATGCCACCAGCAGCAGGACTCATGGCGGGTGCGTAATTATTCGTCACACATCAGCACGCACTGAGCAACGCCCACACAAAAAACAATCAGCAGGATCCAAAAGGTTCCAACCGCCTTTCGCAGCACCTACGCGCTGCCGCCAGTCCGTTTGCTGCTGTCTCCTCCAGCGCACCTGCTCCGCCACCGCACGTGCGGCACCACCCCGCACAGCCAGACAATAACGCATCAAATAATCCGCAGCTGGAGAGACACGTCGGCACGCTCAGCTGCTCGGCGGGAATCCATACACAGTTATCCCAGGCACTATCAATGCCACGTCACCCATGGCAGCACTCCAAGAAAGTCACGCTCGCCGCACGGCAACAAAACAAAACGCGGTGTTGCGTCATTCCTCCTCCCAAGTGCCGCCACAGCCAAAATCCTGTGCGTGCGTGCGTGCGTTTTCAGCGTACACACCGCTCCACAGCGTGTGCAACACGGTCTGAGTGTGTGTGCATGTGCATTTGTGTTTGTCAGCGCCTACACTTGCGGAGCAACTGTGCGGATCAAGAGAGAGCAAATAAAGCAACAGCAGAGAGAGAAGCGGATAGCACACACGCAAATTCCTCATATCATAAACACACACGCAGCCCGCGGAATGGGTGCTCTCAACCACAACACAAGTAAAACAATGAAAAAAACAAAAAAGAAAAAGCCGAAGCGTGGGACGACCAGCGCACACACTCTCATTGCTCCCGCAAAGCCCAACAGGGAGAGAGAGAGAGAGAGGTCGCCCACTCAATGCAATAAAAACAAAACAAAGAAACAGTTACGGTGCTCCGCCCATGCAGCCAGGCAGGACGGCAGCGGTGCGTGTGGTGCAAAAGAGAGCACCAACGGGCCTGCATGGGTGTGCATGCATATATACAATGGGCACATTATGTGTGTGCTTCGTGGGGTGAGGTGAGGGCGAGAGTCCATGCAAGGGGACACACACAGAGAGAGGGAAGGAAAAGTGTGTGTGCGGGCGGTGCACGGCTCTCTCTCCCTCACTCTCACGCGGCCACCATCGCAGCAGCAGCCGCACACGCAACAACAAGAAGAAGAGGCAAAAGAGGGGAGGTGAAGTGGGAGACCGCGGTGCTGCCGTCAGTGTCGCCAGGCGTCGCAGTGTCATTTCTCTTGGTGATGGTAACATTTTCTGTTGGGGATTCTTCTCCTGCTTGAACTTCCGTTGTTGGTGATAGTTCTGCGGAGGATGATCGTGGAGTTGTTTGTGTTACTGGTGGGCTGCTGGTATTAGGCGTTGGGCTTTTAGTGGCTTTCAGACCGACGTCTCCCTTCTCCTTCTCCTTTTCAGCTGCATCCCCACTATCATTTGGAATTTCTGCGGCTTCTTCTGAATTAGAGGAGCCCTGTTTTGCTTTGGATCCTGACCTCTCCCTTGGATGCTCGTTGGGCACTGCGGTCCCAGGAGACACTGTTTCCGAGTGCCGAACACTTTCTGGGGATTGCGTCTCCTGAACGGATGGTGCATCAAGAGCGGAAGATAAAGAAGTGCCACCTGCAGAGAGAGGAGTATCCGAAGAGTCACCTTGAGGACTGCCACCGCCTCCTCCACTAGTTCCACCACCGGAAAATAAACTGACAACAGAAGATGGATTGCCACTATCAGAAGCAGGAGTCTTCAAATCAACACCTCCACCCTCCTTAGAACCTTCAACAGAACTGCCAAAGGGTTGAGTTTCATCCGATACTTGTGGTGATGCTGCTTTTAGTGGTATTTGTGGTCCTACTGCTGGTAATGGTGGGGGTTGCTGGTAATTGCGGCGGTTTTACTGCTTGACCCCTATGTCCTGCATGTCCTGCTGCTGGATCTAC